AAATTTACAAGTTAAAATTAAACCGAGGTCGTGTTTAACACTTGTTGAAATTTAAATTTATAAGTTGAAGTTAAACCGAGGTCACGTTTAACGCTTGTTAAAATTTAAGTTTACAAGTTGAAATAAGCCGAGGTCATGCTAAAAGAAGATTGGTTTAACACTTGTTAAAATTTTGAGAAAAATTTACAAGTTAAGCCAAGGTTATGTTGAAAGAAATATCTACATACTTGCCGAGATTGCCATATTGCCAAGACTTGGAAGAAATTTGAAGACAGAAGTCTTGCTAAGAGTGAAGTATCGAGTTGTAAATAACACTTGCGAAAATATTGTAAATAATATTTTCAAGTGTTAAGCCGAGGCTGAGATAAACCGATTAGTGGGTACAACCGAGGTGTTACACCCCGAGGAGATTGCACAGTTAAAGTGTATTTTGAAGACATGCAAATTATTTTAAGTATAGAATCATACAAGAGTAAAAAGAAGACACATATAACCACGTTGAAAGAAGAAATTAAAGAATGCATTCAGAAAAGGAAAGAAGGCACTTCAGCCTAACATTGAAGAAAGATTGTTTAGATTACAAAAAGGCCGGTGTGAAGTACATCAATGTCAGACGGTGGTAGTAAGCAAAGAAGTGCAACGAAAGCCTCTCCGGCGGAAGAGAGTGAAACTGGTTGCAGAAAGCTTCGCAAAAGCAACAATGAAGGATTTGAGAGAGAAAGTTTGAACAAGAACGAAGATGCATAAGCGAAAAGACGAAGAGAGAGTTGATTTTGATCAAAAGCATGAAATGGTGGCAAAAAGGAAATTATGGTGCCTTGGACAACGTGCTTGTCAGATAATGCACGCAAAAGTGATGAGACTTGATAGCGCGTATCAGGTACGGTCCAGTAGGGGAAAGACGCGTGGTAAGAACGGCTGAAATACTGTGTGTGCCAGCTCATACGCGTGCTGGAACTCTTGGAGTTCTTGATTCAATGAAGCAAATACCTCGGCTAGGAGGACGGTTTCGACTGAGAAACTTGAACGAACTTGGTCGTTGGTTCTAAGGCATTGATGAAAGCAGACTATAGGTCTTGGTCATATTGAGCCGATGAGTTCTGACTTCGACAATAGATGATGAAGTGAGCTTAGCCAACGTACTAAATGAAAGAAATGATATAGGTTCCATCACCTCAGGATGCCGAGGTAATAGAACCTAGGGGGCAGTTGTGAGGACATAAATTTTGAATGACAACACGTGGCCGAGATGCCATGTGTCCTGGTCATGACGCTGAGATTATCTCGGCTAGGCCGAGGTTATCTGCGAGAATATCGGAATCCGAGATAAGCGGATAAGAGAGTTTATCCCAATTCTACTGGGAGTCCAAGATTAGCAATAATCCTGAGTCCATTGAAGTTAGGCTTCTATTGAAACTAGGATTGTGTTGGTTATAAAAGAGAGGCACCCCCATGGGTCTAAGATATGTCTTTTATGCTCTGTCTAGTGAGTTAAGCACTATTGATTATCTTTGAGAGATATTTCACTGACTTAATCGTTGGAGTGCCCCCAGGTGGATAAGCCACTGCCGAAATCTCTTCTTTTTGTGACAGGTCATTCGGGCTTAATTTATTATGCCAGTATTCTCCAACTGAGTACTTGATTATCAGTGTGGTCAGAAATTGACCCACACACGTATCATTTCTCATTTTATTAGACATATTAATAGGTATGTTCGAAGATAAGAAAAAAATTATATCAAATACAGTACTTCGTACGCAAGGCCATCAAGCCTATTTATTATAAGATTTCTCTAGGTATTTTTCTTTTGGGTGGATTGTGAATGTTGTAAAGTTGTGCTTGTATTTTTTTACTTTTTTTTTTTTTTTTTTTTTCTGTCTCTACAAAATTTTATTCAAAAACGAAATTCAAACACCAACTTTTAGAAGGCTAGCTATTTATTTTACTTGCTATAGGTCTTTATTCACATTTAAAACTTTAGTCAGGTCAAAGGACATTATTTTTGCCTCCCTTTGGGAAGTGGGTTGGCTTTTTGGCTTTTTGACTTTTTTGGTTATTTTAGCCTGGGCTTAAAAGCTTGGTTTGGGAAGGGCTTTTTGGCTTTTTGGGTTTTTTGAGTTTTTTTGTGAGAGAAGAATGTAATGATTATGGGTTGGATGTGATGTTTTGTTTGTTATGGCTAAAATAGCCTATTTTGTTTTTTGTGGCTAAAATAGCCAAAAAAACTTCCAACCCACCTTCCCAAACGGTGCCTTTGTTGGTTTCCCATTGGTTTTGTAACCAAGCAATCTTGTTAAAACAGAGGAGGTTCACTCACTAATTGGTGCAAATTCAAACAAATATTTATTTTTTTATTTTTATTTTTTGGGGGGCGAGTGAAATATTTTCTCCTCTTTTTGTAATTTCCTTTCTATTTTGTTAATATCCATTTTTTTTTTTTTTTTTGGTAAACTGGATGTTAATGTCCATTAATGATTAGAGAAAGGCACCAACAATGGTTTCCAAATACATCAACCACTTAGATTCATATCTTGTCCTTCTTCACCATGTGCAAAACAACATTACGAGGCTGTTTGGTGCAACTTATCTGGACTACTTCTAACTTTTTTATTTTGAAAATTTATGTCAATTGTTTAATGCAATTTTTACTTATAACCTATTAAATAGAAATAATTTAAATAAATTGAAAAAAACTGAGTTCCAAAAGCTAGGTGAGAGTGAGGGGTATTTTTGACTTTTAAATTATTAATTTTTAATTTACAATAAACTGTACCAATCAACACATACATCTCAATAACACCCAAAATTGAAACATTTTTTTTTTTCTCTTCATTTAGTGAAATCATTCTCTCTAAAATAACTACAACCCTAAGCCAACAGATGTGTTGAAAACTAGTGATGTTCATTAGAAGATCCTTTCATTGTATTTTTTTGAAGCTAATATTTCAAAACATGTGGAGACTTTGGTATTGATAGATTAAAATTGTGGTAAAATACTTCATGGAAAAAAAAAAAAGTTATATTAATAAAATGGGAACTAAATTACCAAAAACTCAGGTTCGAATTCCATCAAGTATATTCATATTCTGAAAAAATTGGTGATTAGATTACTTTTAATTCCAATATTTTTTTTTTCAATTACCCAATTTTAATTCCTTTTTCCTTTTTGTTTTCAATTTCTTCTTTTCTATAAAATTTTTAGTGCAACTTATGGATTAGCATTTTTTCTTTAAAAAATTTGTACCAGTGAATGTGCATCACTTATAGTTTATGAATCACAACTAGTTAAGCAAAAACAAAACATCCGTCTTCTTTGCAATCAATCAGAAAAATAACCCATTTCTTCTTTTTTTAATAAAAGAGGAATTTTCATTGAAGAGGTGAAGTTATATTGGTGGTTTTGTAATACTCTATGCCATTCAATATGTAATATGTATATTTCTCTCTCTTAAAAACTAACATAAAAATGATAAATTTCACTAATTTAGAGTACCAAGAAGAGAAGTAACTATTTTCATGCATTTAGAATGTACTCATGATAGCCATATGCAACTAACAATATACTATTGTAAACAACCATTTTGTGACTGAACATTATCATGCACTAGTCATGGAAACATTGGAACAGAGGATGTAAAGGAAAATATTTCATTCTCAATTTTACTCTGATATTGACAAGGTCTGAAAATTTTATATTTTTTTAATGGTTACTCTTTACCACTTGATATAATTATTACACAGTGAATCTCACGTAATTACTATTAATATTGGTGACTAGATTATCTTTTCAAATTTGGACTGAATTGATATTTCCTTCTTCTTTTTTTAAACTAGTTTATACCTTAATTAGCTCTCGTTTGTCATAAGTTAATCGGGATTTTTTTTTGTTAAAATAACTATAAAAAGATAAATTAAACTTTTTAGTCCAATAAGAAAAAATGTCACATCTAAATCATAATCATTTCATTTTTTCTTTTATAAAAATAAAAAAATTTATCTCAAATGAAATTTTTTAACCCTAGACTAAAAGTCAAAAAATAAAAAATTCAACTCACATTCCAAACGAACTGGCAATCAATAAAGTATAAGCTTAGCCAATTGAAAGGAGCGGAGCTGAGCTGAGCTGATGAGCCAAGCCAAGGCTATAAAGGCTTGGCTTGGCGGACGCGTAGAAACTAAAAAGTAGGCTAATTGAATGACTGTATTTGTTGTAGGTGTTGGTTTGGACTTTCAACCACTTACGACCCCTCTTCACAACTGCCCTAATTTAAACCTCAAAAAAAATTAAATATTAAAAAATAAACCATCTTATTTTAGTTAACTCTCTCTCCTTATCCCCAAAAGTTATGCGGTGTTTTCGAAACAAATATATCAGGCCTCGTTTGACATAGGTGTTTTTAGTGATTTTTTTAATTTTTAGTTAATATATGAGTTGGTAAAAATTAGTATATTTAAAATAATTTTTTAAATTTTATAAAAAGATATACAAAAGTAGAGTAGATGGAAAATAATTTTTGATCTTTTAGTATTTATTAATTTTTTAATTTTTTTAATAATTTTTTGACTTCCTAATTAAAATCTCAAAATTGCCAAACGAGGTCTTCATATATGAAGAAATTAGTTAGTAAATCCCACACACCACATCATCATGCCACATTGATTTAAAAAAGTGATAGTTATTGACAAAATTTCTAAAATTTCACCATGTATTGTTATTTTTTTACACTATATATTGTTTTCATTTTATCAGACATATTGTTAAACAAACAAAATAAATTAATAATACATAGCTAATAATAAAATTTAATAAATAAATAAACAAATTTTATACTAAAATTTATTGGACGGTTGCACGATCATGCTAATATACTGGACCACTTGATAATTTTTCTCCCTTTCCCTCTCTCTCTCAACCATAATATTTGTTTTTCTCATGCTAGCAACACAAACAATCTTTCTCCCAATTCTTTTTAAACCCCTCCCCACCCTCCATAACATGCAATTGCTAGCTCATACACACCTACCTCTCTCTCTCTCTCTCTCTCTCTCTCTCTCTCTCTCATGGGTGCTCATCGGCAATTCGAGCCGGTCTCCAAATGTAGTACCGAGGGAAGAACGAATCATACGGTGGCAGCAGACTTAGATGGCACGCTCCTCGTGTCGACAAGCGCTTTTCCCTACTTCCTCCTCGTTGCCCTAGAAGCCGGTAGCCTCATAAGGGCATTAGTCCTTTTAGTATCAGTCCCATTTCTATACTTAACATACTTGTTCATATCCGAATCCATCGCTATCCAATGTTTCATCTTCATTGCCTTTGCTGGACTCAAAATTAGAGACATTGAGCTTGTTTCAAGGTCTGTCCTGCCCAAATTCTATGCCGAGGATGTCCACCCGGAGACTTGGAGAGTGTTCAATTCCTTCGGCAAGCGATACATAATCACCGCTAATCCCAGGATTATGGTTGAACACTTTGCCAAGAATTTTTTAGGGGTTGATAAGGTTATTGGGACCGAATTAGAAGTGTCCAAATCTGGAAGAGCGACCGGGTTTGCTAAAAAACCCGGTGTTCTGGTAGGAGAGCATAAGAAATCGGCTCTTCTCAAAGAATTTGGCAAGAATTTGCCGGATTTGGGATTGGGAGACAGAGAGACTGACCATGACTTCATGTCCATATGCAAGGTTCGGTCTTTAAACTTTTCTTTTTTTTTTTAATTTTCGTAATTATTCTCTTATCTTTTATTTCATTTTGATTAGTTCAATATTATTAGTAGGCAAATAAATCTATTAATTATCTTGAATTTCTTTTTTTATAGGCCTTGTGTTGAAAAGTTTTTATAAACAACATAGCTAGTGTGTTTTTTAACATCTTTAAATTTTGAACATTTATGAGCTGTTTGTTAGTTAAAGAATAAATTACTATCGTTTTTGTATTTTTGTGAGGTTGGTCGCTTTTATGGCATGATGCTTTGTTCGTGAATCTCTCTGCCTTCGCCTCTAAATGACAACTATTTTGATTTTCAAATAATTTCAAATTCTATTGGTCCACGTGGCAATTCAATATATTTTGAAATTATACTAATTTATTTTTGTAAGGATAGATATAAAGAAATCATGTAATTATGAATATCAAATTAATTTTTTTTAATGATTTATATATAAAACTTTACAAAATAAACGATTTTGATTATCAAAATGGGACTCGGGTGGTTCTGAGAAGAAATAGTGCACCAGCAGTACACATGACAACATCTAATTATTTTCAATTGGGAAGACAATTATTTTCAACATGCATCCTTCGTGTTCAAACCACTTTTCCATTTTGTATCATACTCTTGAATTACGTCTTCACAAAAGAAATATGAGAAATTAATAACTCTTTTTTCTAAATTCTCTACTTTTCTTTACATAATATACATATTGGATAAACAAGAATGTTTGGTTTCCTGTTATAAATTTTTGTCGTGTCAAATTGGAACAAGTAAAAATTTTATCTATCCTGCATTGATTTTCATTCCCTTTGATATACCTTGTGTATCGGTATTAGAAAGATGAAAAATTAATACATTAATATGATATTTAAAATCATTAATACCTATAGATAACCCGGTATATCAATATAAATATCGGTTCATATCAGATTCACAATAGATATAGTCGATATAGTTATTTTAGTTAATATAAAACTATTTTTCACAGCTAACGTCACCATATTTCCTATGCTGTCCCTCGATACTTCCAATAGTACCGCATGCCAATTTATTTCTCGATACCCCAATTCAAAACATTGAATGGTATTTTACATTTCAATACACACAAATCAAATATTTGATGTTTTGGACATTAACAACACTCTGTTTGTGATTACAGGAGGGATACATGGTGCCAAAAACAAAATGTGAGCCACTACCAAGAAACAAGCTACTAAGTCCAGTCATTTTTCATGAAGGCCGTTTGGTTCAAAGGCCTACCCCTCTTGTTGCCCTCTTGACCTTCCTATGGATGCCGATAGGCATCGCTCTCTCTATCATTAGGGTTTATTTGAACATCCCATTGCCAGAGCGAATCGTAAGGTACACCTACAAAATCCTCGGAATCAAGCTCATCGTAAAAGGCACCCCTCCACCGCCCCCTAAGGCGGGCCAGAGCGGTGTCCTCTTCATTTGCAACCATCGCACGGTGTTAGATCCCGTTGTCACCGCGGCCGCCCTAGGAAGAAAAATCAGCTGTGTCACATACAGCATAAGTAAATTCTCTGAACTAATATCACCCATTAAAGCTGTGGCATTATCGAGGGAGAGAGATAAAGACGCGGCTAATATCAAGCGATTGCTTGAGGAGGGCGATTTAGTCATATGCCCCGAAGGGACCACTTGTCGCGAGCCATTTTTGCTTCGATTCAGTGCACTTTTTGCAGAGCTTACTGATCGGATCGTACCTGTTGCAATCAACACTAAGCAGAGTGTTTTTTATGGAACGACTGTTCGCGGGCACAAATTATTGGATCCTTATTTCGTGTTCATGAATCCGATGCCAACGTACGAAATCACATTTTTGAATCAATTGCCAGCGGAGCTGACTTGCAAAGGCGGCAAATCTGCGATTGAGGTTGCGAATTATATTCAGACGGTGCTTGCTGGGACATTAGGGTTTGAATGCACTAATCTCACTAGGAAGGATAAGTATGCCATGATGGCTGGGACTGATGGCAGAGTGCCAAACAAGAAAGAGAGTTCTTCAAAATGAAATGAAACGAAACGAAAATGCAAAATGTGATCTCTTTTTTTCTCCTTATTGTTTTTTTTTCTTTTTCTTTTTCTTTTTCTTTTTTTTTTAATTTCATATATTGTGAAACTTTATTGAAACAAATAATGTGGATTGTTGTTATTATAAGTTTTTATATAATAACAATTTCATATGCATCTATCTATACTATTTATCTATCTATCTATCTATTTATATATATCTATCTATCTATCTATCTATACTATCTATCTATATCTATCTATCTATCTATACTATATATATAAACAAATGTAGTGGATTATGAGAATTCTCTAAACTCTTAATACTAAATTCTTATAAATTCTCTCTCCTATGTGTTACTTTTCAATTCTCCCCTTCCACTTTTCTTAATTTTTAATCATTTGTCAATTATCTAAATCTCAAAAGCCAAAAGGATTATATATATTTAAATAAAATGATAAATATTTAAATATGAGCAACAAAGAAGTAGAGATAAAAATATAAAATAAAAAGATAACTATTTAAATTTCAACTACAAAATAATATAAAGAGTCAAATAAAAGATTAAATAAATAAATAAATAAATAATATTATGAGTCAATTAATTATAAAAATAAAAAAGTGAACTATTTATATATGAGCAATTAAAAAAAATTTAAATAAAAAAATATTACGAGTCAAATGATTTTTAAAATAAAAAGGTAATTATGTATATATGAATAAAAAATAAATATAGATGAAAAAATATACAAAAATAAAAATATAACTATTTAATGAAAATTCAAATAAAAGATAACAAAATATTTAAATAAAAAAAAAGAATAAGATTGGGGTATAAATATCCCAAAAAGATGATAATTTTTTTAACGATCTATATTTATCTTTTGTTAGTTTGTTATAAAATTTTCATATGTTTCAGTTTAATCTTTTTAAAATTTATCTTCAAGTTGAATTTAATATTTTATTTTTTTTAAATCATCAATTAATTATACATACAAATTTTAAATATGATAAAATTCCATATATATCTTTTGTTTAAGCATAATATTAAAAAAAAAAATAGTACAAGTCAAATAATTTTTAAAATAAAAAGGTAATTATTTATATATGAGCAACAAAAAAATATTGATGAAAGAATATACAAAAATAAAAATATAATTATTTAGATTTGAACTGCAAAATGAAAATTTAAATAAAAGATAACAAAATATTTAAATAAAAAAAAGAATAAGATTGGAATATAAATATCCCAAAAAGATGATAATTTTTTTAACGATCTATATTTATCTTTTGTTAGTTTGTTATAGAATTTCTATATATTTCAACTTAATCTTTTTAAAGTTTATCTTATACTTTAAATGTATTCATCAGTTGATTTTTTTATTGTTGATTATCCTATTGAAATAATTCATGATTAAATTTATTTTTAGTAACTCATTTCCTTTGAGAACTAAACCACAAATTTCTTCTTTGTTTAAATTATTTATTTATTTATTTAGATTCAGAGTTTGAGCAAATGGAAGATATCTCATATTTAAAATGTTAATTTTTTTTTGAATAATTTAAATATTTATATTCTTTATGTTTGTCAATTCAAGTATAATGCATTTTCAAACATTTTTTTTAAATTTTTTTATAATCATTCCAAACCTATTTGTGTTTAATGAATCAATATAACGAAAAAACAAATAGCATGTAAAAAATTTTAACCACCCACTAACTAAATATAATGGGAATTAAAATTAATTTTATTTTAATTTATTATATTATATGAGATGATTACTGTAATATCTACTATTGATTAAGCAAAATTAGTGTTACTTTTATTTAATATATTAGTCATTTTGATTAATTATAATATGCCTTTGTTACTCTACTTTTGGTTTTCTGAAGTAATTCTTAGAAAAATTAGCTATTATATATGTGATGATTTACTAATGTATAATACTTTTTTAAAATTTCCAACAATGTGAAATATTAAATATTTTTAATGATGTGAAATAAGATTTATATACACAAACCAAATAAAAATATTAAGAAATATAAATAAATAGTAATTTTTTTTATAGTAATTATTAACTTTCTAAAATCCTGTACATCGCGCAGGTGACGACTAGTTTATATATATATAATGTTTAGCTGATGTTTTTTGGGTAAAAAGTGGCCTTGAACATAGTATTGTTGTGTTGGTGGCAAGCATTAAGCGTTAATATGCGAGAGCTGGTGGATTTATTTGGTATCTTTGTTGTTACTGTAGTTAAAAAGACAAAAATATTTATTTAAAAGAAATTTGTTCTTTTACAAATATATATCTATTCATTTTCTTTCATTGTCCTAACCAAACAAAAAAGAAAAACATTAGGTTATTTTACTCTATTCTATTTTTTTGTATTATTTATTTTTGTACCTGATTTGACAATCCAATATAAAACCATCTCCAACGGTGAATCAAACTTAACATCAAATTTAAATTTTGATGAAAAAAATACTTTTTGGTGCTCCAACCGTTTCACCAAATTGACATCAAAATGAGAATTCAGTAAAAAAATCATCAAACTGAGAATAAACTACAGATTTTACCAAATTACTGTTCATGACCGTTGAAAGAGCTGAACTGGTCAACCAGCCGATTGCCCGATCAGTTGACCAACCGGCCTACCGGTTCCCTTACAAAAAATTTGGTTCAAATAGGTCAAAAGGTTCAAATAGGTAAAAAAAAAAATATATATATATATATATGCCTTATCGGTTGACTAACCGGTCGATCCCTGTTTTAATACTCACAATTGAAACAATCTGTATAAAAATGAAAAAATAAATCTTTTTTAACTCAAATTTAATAAAAAATTTAATAAACGATTAGAAATGTTCTAACTTAAATAAGTTGCTTTAGCTTAATTATTTCGGTGGCGGATTGGTTGGAATGGATGAAAACAATCATGATTTGAGTTGGTCAAATCCCTAGGGAAAAGGGATCACGTGGATGTCCTATAAACATATATTATTTTATATATATACTAGCGTATGCCCGCACCTAAAGACACGGTGTAAATAATTTTAAAATTAAAATGCAGTTATAATTTATACGTATTATGTTGAAATTTATAAAGTTTATGTTATTTTTTGATAAAGATACTGAAAAAATATATTGAAATATTTTTCTTCTTAAAGAACTTACAACAATTTTGCTTGTATTACACGCTCTACAAAACTCAAATAAAATGACAACTCTCCCTAATATTAATGCAAATTAAGAAACAAACATTTAAGATTTAAAGTTATATTGCATATCAAAATATAAAAGGCAGTAAAAAAAAGTGTAAACACTGAACAAAAAATAGAAATAAAGTTATACTGTCATACACCAAAAGAGTAGGTTAAAACTTTACAAAAAGTGGGTTAAAGCTTTACAAAAAGTGGGTTAAAGCTTTACAAAAAGTGGGTTAAAGCTTTACAAAAAGTGGGTTAAAGCTTTACAAAAAGTGGGTTAAAGCTTTACAAAAAGTGGGTTAAAGCTTTACAAAAAGTGGGTTAAAGCTTTACAAAAAGTGGGTTAAAGCTTTACAAAAAGTGGGTTAAAGCTTTACAAAAAGTGGGTTAAAGCTTTACAAAAAGTGGGTTAAAGCTTTACAAAAAGTGGGTTAAAGCTTTACAAAAAGTGGGTTAAAGCTTTACAAAAAGTGGGTTAAAGCTTTACAAAAAGTGGGTTAAAGCTTTACAAAAAGTGGGTTAAAGCTTTACAAAAAGTGGGTTAAAGCTTTACAAAAAGTGGGTTAAAGCTTTACAAAAAGTGGGTTAAAGCTTTACAAAAAGTGGGTTAAAGCTTTACAAAAAGTGGGTTAAAGCTTTACAAAAAGTGGGTTAAAGCTTTACAAAAAGTGGGTTAAAGCTTTACAAAAAGTGGGTTAAAGCTTTACAAAAAGTGGGTTAAAGCTTTACAAAAAGTGGGTTAAAGCTTTACAAAAAGTGGGTTAAAGCTTTACAAAAAGTGGGTTAAAGCTTTACAAAAAGTGGGTTAAAGCTTTACAAAAAGTGGGTTAAAGCTTTACAAAAAGTGGGTTAAAGCTTTACAAAAAGTGGGTTAAAGCTTTACAAAAAGTGGGTTAAAGCTTTACAAAAAGTGGGTTAAAGCTTTACAAAAAGTGGGTTAAAGCTTTACAAAAAGTGGGTTAAAGCTTTACAAAAAGTGGGTTAAAGCTTTACAAAAAGTGGGTTAAAGCTTTACAAAAAGTGGGTTAAAGCTTTACAAAAAGTGGGTTAAAGCTTTACAAAAAGTGGGTTAAAGCTTTACAAAAAGTGGGTTAAAGCTTTACAAAAGATGTATGCTTTACAAAAGATGTGTCAGTAACATGTCATACACAAAAAATTATATTGTCATACATCAAAAATATGTATGCTTTACAAAAGATGTGTCACTAACATGTCATACACAAAAAATTATATTGTCATACACCAAAAATATGTATGCTTTACAAAAGATGTGTCACTAACATGTCATACACAAAAAATTATATTGTCATACACCAAAAATATGTATGCTTTACAAAAGATGTGTCAATAACATGTCTTCAAATATGCGTTTGCCCAAACTTCCTCCTCATTACTTTCCAAAAACTCTTTGTATCAACTTTTATGTATCCCCAATGAGGAATATGCACAACAATCTGGTAATTTGTGGAAACAAAAAAAAATATAGATTAGTACATTTGTTGGATATATACATGTCAAAATACTTTGAGAATAAAATTACCTTATTACATCCCCATCGAAGCAAGGTAGTCGTATTTCTTCTTTTAAGCTCCATAGATTTTTCGGTCCAATCCTACAAAAATCCAAATTTCAAATTATTATTAAATTGAATTTTTTTAAAAAAGTTATATAATTAGTAGAAATAAATCTACATGGTTACCTTCTAATAAAACGTCATTTAATCTGCATAGAATACTATAGCAACAATTCAGGATAAACAATATTTGTAGTAGAATCCAAAATATCTCTTGGGAAGAGAATACTTATATGATCAAAGGATGTACATCTAGACAATGCCACATATAATTGTCCATGGCTAAACACTGGTATACGCAAATCAACCCCAACAAATTTCACAGATTGTCCTTGAGATTTATTAATGGTCAAGGCATATGCCAATCGGACTGGAAATTGACGTCTTGTCATTTGGAAAGGCATTTCTGAAGAAGA